GGGGACCGGGGTGCAGGGGTTGGGGTGGGGTGTAGGAGGGAGGGGCATGTCTGTGTGGACACACAGACACACGACACACAGACGGGCACACGGACACAGACACACACACACACATGGACACACCGACGAACACACGGACACACGACACACCGACGGACACACAGACACAGACACACACACACAGACACACAGACACACACGCACACACACATGGACACACACACAGCCAGACACAGACGGACATGCACACACCGATGGACACACACACACACACACTGTATTTCTATGCGGTGTGCCCCGTTGCGCGGCTGTAGATGGGGGGTTGGTGTGCTGTAGTGGGCAGGCCGTACACTCGGGGCATCCACGGGTGGCTGTGTGGGCTGGGGGTGACCCCTACTGGCCGGTACCTGTAGCACGGCCCAGCAGTGGGGCTGCCTGAGGTCACATAGGAAAAAAGACCCAACCTGTCGGACCGGTTGAGGGCAGGGAGGGAGCAAGGGAAGGGAGGTTTCGGGGGAAGGGGCAGTAGCTGGCTGGGAACGTGAAGGGAACAGGCTCAGCTGGGTGCTGAGGGTTGAGGGGGCAATGGATCCCCTGCCCCGAGGGGTCTGAGGCCTCCTGGCCCTGACTCCTGTACCCACCTCCCGTCTGTGCTGGGCTGTCCTGGAGGAGCAATAACCCCCCTGTTCTACTGGCTGGGGAGTCTGTTCTGGCTGCTCCGGGGGTGCAGGATCGGGGGGGTCCCCAACACACCGTCACAGTTGGCCGGGGGTGAGGACGGTGGAGCAGACGGAGATCACTTTGTGCTGGGCGCTCAGCGTGTCGGTGTCTGGGAGCCTGTAGACGACCACCAGGGTCCCGTAGAAGAGGGTTGCCGGGGGGAGCAGGTGGAAAGGCCTCTTGCTGCCCGGTGCGGGAGGGGCCCTCAGGACGGAGGCGAGGATGCAGGTGGAGGAGGCCTCTGTCAGTAGAAACGGGAGCACAACGAGAGTCACGAGGTCCATCGCCCGGGTGTCGCTGCAGGAGAGTTTTTTCACTCTGGCGAGATCACAGGAGAAACGGTCCAGTTCCCTGGGGCCACAGAAGGACCACTGGGCCACCACGGACGTCATGATGCTGCCCGCCAGCAGCCCGTTGGCCCAACACCCGGCAGCCAGCGGCTTGCAGATGGCCAGGTGCCGGTCGGAGGACATCGCCGCCAAGAGGAAACACTCGGCACTGTGGAGAAAGGCAAAGAAATAATATTGCACCAGGCAGCCGTGAACGGAGACCTGCCCCCGTCTGGAGCCCGGCCAGCAGCCGGGGCAGGATGGCGGAGCCGGAGCAGATCTCCAGGCAGGACCGGTGCCGATCGGCCACCACGATGGGGGGTCCCCAGGAAGAGCAGGAAGAGGAGGGGCTGCCGGGCAGGAAGATGCCCAAACCCCAGGAGGATGGATCCAGGGATGGACGTTCGGTTTCCCAGCTGCGTGGCCACCGGGCGTGTCTGTGGGAGAGGAGACTCTTACAGGGCTGCCACGCACAGGACAGGTGTCTGTGGCCGAGGCATTTCGAACACCAATCCCAGACCTGTCCAGAGTGGAGCCTGGCGCAGACGGGCACTGTGCCCGGGCACCCGCGAGACCAGCAAAGCCAGCACTTCCAGGAAGCTCTGCACTCGTGCCGGGCACCGCTGCCAGTTCCAGACAGTCAGCGTGAGGCTGGCTTGTGACCACAGAGGGGCGGGGGGCGCGGCTGTGCAGGAGGCAGGCAATGGGGGGACCAGGAATGAGAAGAGCTCCGTAAGGCCCATGGGCACCCCGAAGCAGCCGGGAATGGACCCAGCCTGCTGTTAGAAGCGTGCGGAAGGGCAGCTGGCGGAGTCTCAGGCAGACAGTGGCACAGGCACAGCTTGGGACGCAAAGAGGCCGGCGCGGCTCCACTGGGAACTCGTTCACAGCCTGGCAATCCGAGGGAGGCCACGGAAAGTGGGGACGTGGCCACGTGGCGGAGGAGGGGCAGGGAAAACCAGCACGAGGAGGAGGCTGCGTTGCAATTGGGAAAGGATAGAAAGGGCAGCGAGGAGAGTGAGGCTGCGTCTAGGCTGCAGGCTGCTTTCGGAAGAAGCTTTTCCGGAGGAAATCGTCTGAAAAAACTTCCGATGGAGAGCGTCCACGCGGCCCAAGCACATGGACAAAGCGACCTGCGTTTTCGACAGTGTCCACACTGACTGGCCGCTCTCTCGCAGGCCAGCTGAGAGTGCTACGGGCGGAGCGGCCACCA